TCCTGCTGCTGCTCCTCCTGCTGCTCCTGCTGCTGCTGCTCCTGCTGCTGCTACTGCTGCTAGCTCTCTCCCCTGCAGCTCAAGAACCTTTCTGGCGGCTTCGTCGCACCACAGCCCGCTGCGGCTGCCGCTGCAGCAGCCCCAAATTACCAGCAGCAGCAGCAGCAGCAACCGCAGAAGCAGCAGCAGCAGCAGCAGCAGCAGCAGCAGCAGCAGCAGCAGGACGCGGCATTTCTGCTGCCCCGCGGGTGCTTTGGCTGTCCCCAGCGTAGAGCGACGACCCAATAGAATCATCCAAAAGCTGCTGCAGTATGAACCCGAGGAGCAGCAGCAGCAGCAGCAGCAGCAGCAGCAGCAGCAGCAACTGCTGCAGCGGCTGCAGCAGCAGCAAGACGAAGAGGAAGCTTTAGAGGTGAGCTACCAGCAGCAGATGGTCGATGTGCTGCTGCTGCTGCTGCTGCAGCAACTGCTGCAGGGTGTTCTTTACAGGCAGCACTTGCTGCTGCTGTTGCTGCTGCTGCTGCTGCTGCTGCTGCTGCTGCTGCGAGCGTATTGCTGCTGCTCCAGCTATACCATATATTCTTATGCTGCTGCTTTCCCGTTTGGTGCTCCTGCTGCTGCTGCTCCTGCTGCTGCTCCTGCTGCTCCTCCTCCTCCTCTCCTGCTCCTGCTGCTGCTGCTCCTGCTGCTGCTGCTGCTGCTGCTGCTGCTGCTGCTGCAGCTGCAGCCTGAACCTGACCCTGAACCGTGCGGGGAGATCGATACCGTAAACTTTCATTTTTGTCTTCGCCTATTTTTTGATTCTCAATTAAAACAAAAAACCTTTGTTGAGGCCCTCGTCAGGTTTGCTGCTGCTGCTGCTGCTGCTGCTGCTGCTGCTGCTGCTGCTTCTGCTGCTGTTGGTGATGCTGTTGGTGATGCTGGTGATGGTCGTGGTGGTGGTGCTGGTGGAGTTGCTGCTGTTTGTGGTGGTGCTGCTACTGCTGTTGTTCTTCCTGCTGCTGTTGTTGCTGCTGCTGCTGCTCTTGTTGTTCTTGCTGCTGCTGCTGCTGTTGTTGCTGCTGCTGTTGTTTCTGCTGTTGTGCCTGTTGTTATGCTGCTCCTGCTGCTTTCGTTGCTGCTGTTGCTGCTGCTGCTGCTGCTGCTGCTGCTGCTGCACCTCCACCTGCTGCAATTACACTTCCTGCTGCACTTCTGCTCCTGCTACTACTACTACTACTACTACTACTGCTGCTGCTGCTGCTGCTACTGCTGCTGCTGCTGCTGCTGCTGCTGCTGCTGCTGCTGCTGCTGCTGCAGGAGCATAGCGGGTATGCGTGAGCCTGAGGCGGAGACGATTTGGCGGCTGCTTAAAAAAAACGGAAATTTTGATGTCGGAGCTTTCAAAATATATGTCAGCTGCTGCTGCTGCTGCTGCTGCTGCTGCTGCTGCTGCTGCTGCTGCTGCTGCTGCTGCTGCTGCT